AGCTGAGACATGTGCCTCCAAACCTTCAACTACGCCGAGCTTCTGCTGTAATTGTGATTGGCGATGGGTGTCTGCAGCCCCAGCTAGCATAGCGACGGCTATGAGGACTGAGACTGGCGATAGAACCGTTGCCTCGACTTGATCAACGTGCTGGAAGCCAGCGACGCGCTGCAATAAGCTCCACCCTATGTTTTTAGTGGTTTGGGAGATTGAGGAACAAGGGACCAGTCCATCTTTTTCCTGATACCTCTGCTCCACTAGCTGCTGCGTATGCTTGCCCGGTGCTGAGGATGGACCTGATAGTTGGTGCGGTATTTGTTGAAGGCGTGGGGCTGGAACAGGTATATCCGAAGATAATGCGGTCTCACTGACAGAATCTTGCCCAGCGAGGCGCTTTGAGCGACGAGGTGAATCCATAGCGAGGCTAAGATGTTGAATTGTGGTAGCAGTAGATATGAAAGTTTAATCAATTGGAAGTTGAGACAAAGGTTCTTCGGGTTGTTCCCTTCGCGTTACGAAAGCCCCCGCATTAAGTCACGAGTCGGCTCGGCCCGCTGCTAAAGTTTGAGGTTAACCTATATTCGAAGATGAACCCCTTAGAGAAGAGAATCATAACACAGGGACGATTATTGCTGACCACCGATAATGAACCATTGACCCACGGACCGTGAATTTTTAGACGGGCATCTTTTGAACCGAACCCCACTGCAGCTGAACAGAAATCCCTCTGCTATTCCACCATAACTATTGGTAGAAATCTCGATATATCCAAGACTTCGCGCAACCTATCCAAATATAATCCTGACTTCGAGCCGTATATGTGAAATGCTCTCTTTTCTTCTTACTAATTACGATGGTAGTTGAGAATTCCCCACAAGCCTATCTATGAGGGAACAACGCAGAGTTGTCTCAATAGTACGTAGTTCCTGGCATGGAGACTATTGAATGGCATCCAAGCCATAGGTCCCCGAGAGAGGCCTTCTTGCCAGGGAATAGGAAGGGGTAATCCCTAGGATGTTGCTGGGTGACCTCTCCAGCAGCAGGAACTAGAGTGACTATGCTGTTATCGGTTTCTCGGTCTCAATGCTCAGACAATTTCCAGGGACGAACCAATCTTTTGCTAGACCGCCGGTCCGAAGCTTCTTGGTCACCCACGGCTTGGATTTATTGATGATGGCGTCTATGGACTATAGGGCCGCCAAGGTACAAGATGTTGGTCGCTATATCACCTGAGCTGTGTCAGCGAGCGCTATACCATATGCCGAGAGGACTGGTAATTAGCGATATATGTTAAGTTTACTAATGAACAATAAAGCACCAATGACGTAGACATGCTGGATGCCTGCTCTGCCGAGTCAGGCCAAGTGATGTGAGGTGATGTTATGGCCTCGTGCCTCAGCCAATACTCCGATCAACTTGGCCGGGGCTTGTTTTCCTTGTTGAGTTAAGTGGTCTATCTCTTTCTCTAAGCTTTAATGATCGTAAAGCCGTGAAGGGGGCTCTGCAAGTCTGTACAATAACCTCCCTATAAGCGCTTTCGATAAGATGCCATGTTTTTCCAGAAGCTTCTCAAATTCCTCAAACCTCCAAAGTTTCTCAACCTCACAGGCACTAAACTCTACAACCATATATCTTAGTTGTTCCGGCACAAGGTCTTCGAAAGTATATCGCACTAGCTCTACCGTACTTTTATGGTCCACACCCTTTATACGCAAATCTGTTAACTCATCATAAAGTTTTCTCTGAGATACTTCTGAAAGTCTTTCAATTCCATAGCGGTCGGCCAGCGTAAAGACTTTGGCATGGTGCACCAAGGGGTTTGCCTGGTCTTTGAGTGAGATATCGGCATCAATAGTCTCAGGTTGTATTTCCCAAGAACGGAGAAATTTACCCCATAGTAACGACTTTTCAACACTTGTCTTTTTCTCCTGCCCTATTGCTGAAATAGGACTCAAAGCTCTAGGCACCCAGGATATATATGGCCAAGACATTTCGGTCAAATCTGACCCAGAACCGAACTCTTCTTCTGGTTCTTCTGGTTCTGGATCTTGTGGTTCTTGCTCTTCTCGTTCCGGTTCTTCGGGCTCTGTTAATACTTCTGCTTCAGCGGGTTTATCAGCAGTATCTGATTTATGGTCCCCCAGACCCGAAGTCCTTTGATCGGGTGGGAGTGGTTCTGGAGTGTCGTAGTCTCCTTTATAAACAAACTGCCAGAAACTGTTGAAGACTATCTCGTCTACATCCTCCCATTTGACACAACGTTCTCGCGATTCTTGGAACTTGCCATTCACCATGGCATCGAGAGCTGGTGACTGATGTGCGACAAGGGCTGAGTGAATAGTGTATTCTGTTTGGAGAGGGCCGATCAGAAATCTGAACGGTTTTGACGTCGCGACCCTAACGATGTTGATCAGCATCATGGTGGTGATTCTGCTATTTGTAGGTTGGATACTTACGCCTTCTTTGATATGCGCTCCATTCTTGGAATGACAGTTATACCAGGAATCTATACCCAAGAATTGCGCAATTTTCAGACTGATTGTATTGTCTTCAAGGAAAATTGGGAAACTTCTCAGTTCGGAGTCATTCACTCAGTGCGAGTTCCCCTCAGTTAGGCTCAAACACTTGTCAGTTGTTCATTGGTCCACCCACACTGCGTATCTAAGTAGTCACCATCCTGCATGCAGCGGTGATAAGAAAACCTTCAGATCTTGTATCTTCATCATGATTGAGCCTTGAGAATCTCCATATCTCCAGTTTCTCCTTTATATAAGCGGGAGACTTAAATATTGACAAACGGACTAACATTCGGGTGACTTGAATTCTATAATGGTCGAGTTCGATTTTGGATTGGTGTTCGGTCACGCAGGACAACACTCGGCAGCAGTGTATCAAGCTCTGAAAGCTCTGATTCTGGCTTGTCAGTTTCTATCGCAAGCTATATTCTCTCGGCTGAATTAAGCTCTCAGCCACAGGTCTCAGCGGCAAATAATACAGCAATGTGACAGTCAGCCCGATGTCACTATAGGGAGTCGGACATCGAGACGATGGGTGCAAGGTCCGAAGAAATATGAACCGACACATTTACCGCTACTAGCTTGTGACTGGGCAGAACAAGATGAGCTTCTTTTAACCAAGGGTCAGGGTAGGATCCGACTCAAACTGGAAGAAGATGCTCACACATTATAAGCTTGATGCTAAGGTGGACGTAGCCGCCATACCTCTCTGCTGTTGGTTGCTTCTATTGCTGCCTAGTGTGAATGATGGTTTTGATGTAGTTCGATCAACCATCATCCAGAAGACCGCCGTGTAGACTCCATATGTGATAATGATCCAGCTTGACTCTGGTATTATAAGAGCTTGTAGAAGTCACAAGTCCCCAGAGGATCGACTGATACGAGGTAGTTGGCCTCGCATGTCGTTTCTGTAACGGAGAAATGTTGAAGCAAGGTGCTGAATGTACTATGGCCTTGAAATCTGCTATCGGAGTTTGTTAATTGAGGCTGCTCTATAGCCAATTAGGCCCCATCCCCTTCCGGAAGCTTTTATATGAGATTCTAATCGGTACCGGCGAATGTACCTGGTGGTCTGTGAGATCGAAGCGAGATCGCGGCTTTATCACCATGAAGATAAAGGCTGTGATTTCTGTAATGGTTAACTGATTGGGCTAAGACGAGGCCAAGAGGGGATCTTATGATATGTTAACAATAGAATGGCTGAGCGTGAGTATCTTGAGATGCTGAAATCGCGCCAAGAAAAGCTTAGTCAGAGTGATCTAAGGTGTAAATCTTCTGACATTTCTCCTTTTGACCCATGACCTTGGGCGGCCGCGAGCACCTTGGCTTCCAGATTCCACTTGGGCAACCGCAGTACTGGCCCTTCGTCTAGTCTACGGAGAAAACCGTTAGTAGTATGCTATTTTTATTATATTTCGCATTTCTATCCTTGATAAGCCCGTGAGCGCCCAAGTAATCGTCAGTAACGTCATGTCATCAGCTACAATCAGTCCTCACTGCCTCGGTATTGGACGGGTAGTGTTAATCTCGGAAGCATATCACAGTTGGTTCATGTCAAATATGGATAGAACAGACATCTGGTTCATTTACTGCATCAAGAGCGGTCTCCAGATCATCCATTATTCGATTGCTGAGTCGTCTCCTAAGCCGTACCGTCGAAGCCGTAATCGCTCTTTGTGGCGCCACGGCAATTTCCATTGGAGAGCACACAACATCCTCCAACCCTTCAAAGGACAAAGTCTGGGTGCTTGCGTTAGAGCGGACTACAGGTAAGGAGAGCCACTGAAATGTAAATGCCGTGGTAGGATGCAAATAAGAAGCTTGGCGAATAGAAATGCGCCGATAAACTGAATTCTGATGTCAACTTCTCTGCTCTAAGAACATTTTATCTGGACTGCTTTTACAGAGTCAGATAAATGGCACTATTGCTAACTGTGATAGGCATTTTAAATCAAATGGGATTACGAGAGTATAGGGTTGGGTTTAGTAAGACACAAAAGTCATTAGTGGGGAACCGTTACTGGCATATTCAGCTGCAACCAATAGTCTAGAGTTATTTAGTGCCCAAGTCAGAGGCTGACTCGTATGTGGCCGTGCATTAATGAGGTGAATTATGAGATTTAATCTACAGGTATACCTTTACTTTTATAAATTTGTTTGCCTAAACATTTAATCGCCTCTCTCCACTATCTGTTATCTGCCAGTCTTCTTGTACATTGTTATGTACCATTTAGTTATGCATAAAAGCGGTAGTCATCTCTGTAACCGCTGTGTCAACTGTGATTTGAGGTTTTTATTGGCTCAAGACGCGCCATCACCGTCTCAAGGCACGGCATGATTGGCGGATAAATATAGATTCTGATATCTGACAGGTTAGCTACACTTAAATGGGGAGGACTTTTTTTCCCAGGACGAAGCTCGACTTTCTTCTTTGCTTCCTGCCATTACTACCATTTTACCCATCCCTACTTCATCCTCGCAAACATGTCAAATACTCGCGTTACAATCGACCCCAATGGTGACACTCTAGTCATCCTTGCAACCAAGCAGGACCCTCCTCCCTCCAAAGAACCCACCGAACCTGCTGGCACCACTGAATCGCCGACATTCATTGAGAAACATTTTCTCTGCTCTCAGAAGCACCTGACACTTGCATCGCGTCGAGCTTCTAAGCTGTTCTTAAGTCCCTTCAAAGAAGCTTCAAAACAAGACGATGGTCTTTATCATTGGAACTTTGGCGATGTTTTCGATATGGAAGCCTTTGAGGTGGTCTTGAAAATCATACACGGAAAAACCCGCGGAGTTCCTCAAGATGCTGACTTAGATTTTCTATCAAAAATCGCTTGTATTGTTGATGATCTGGAGTGCTATGATGCACTTTCCTTCTGTACCGAGAAATGGCTTTCGACATACGGTGGGTTCTTTCGTCCACTGCCGGAAAAGATGGATAAGTCACTGGCACAATTTATTCTCGTTTCTTTTGTGTTTGCGCACAAATATATCTTTCGAGATAGTACAAAACAAGCTGCTCGGTATACCTGCGAGGGCATGCCTACTTTTGATCTACCAATCCGCGCAGATATTCCAAGTACGTCGCCTTGTGCGTGATAGCTCATGCTTACAAAAATAGGGCGCATTGAAGAAAGCAGGATAGAGGCTCTCCAATACCTAGTTGGTGGACTATATCAGGTTCACGATGACCTTCTTCAGCGGAAGCTGGGATGTAGTGAAGGTTGTAGAGCTTTGCTCCTAGGATCTTTGCTCCAAGTCATGACAGCAGCCGGCCTGTACCCACGACCCGAATCTCCCTTTTACTCGCTTAGACTCAACTCGATTATCAGTTCTCTGCGCGACATGCAGCCATCGATTTATTACAGTTCGGTAACAGGGGGCTCTGCAGAAAAGCATTCGGGTACATGGCTACTGCATGAACAGCCCACATCTCAACAAGCTTCCAAGTCGAATACTGCTACTACTCAATCAACTTCAAGACCTTTTGGGTCTGCTTTCTCGGGCTCCACTACCTCCACTACAGCTCATGGTGGACTCTTTGGTGCTCCTAGAGTTGACCCCGTGCCCACAGGGTTCGGCAATTCAAATACCCCCCGAACAACCGGTGGACTTTTTGGTACAAGCACAACACCTCAGCCAACGTTTACCCCCGCAGCTCCTTCTGGAGGACTTTTTGGGGCAAGGACCGTGCCTCAAACAAGCGCTCCGCTTAGTTCAGACCCTGCTAAGAACGAAGAGTTGCCCAAGAAGCTTGTTAAACACAGCTGTTCTCTGAAGAGTTTCATCGATCCTCTGTTGCTTGTAGCAGAGAGTAAGATTCAAGGGCTAAAGTTAGATGACTTTCCTGAACCCTAGTTGGTTAAGAGACAGCTAAATGTTGTCTTGCGATAACTACTTGTAATGAGAATACTCGAGATAATATGTAACTCCGAGAACTTAGAGACAGTACGTTCGTCATTCATGATAGAATTCTCGTTTACTTCCTCTCCATTGCTGGTTAAGCACCAATTTTGTAGAACTTGTCCGCGAATTCTGCTTCCAGCAACTCAAACGCCCTAAAAACCTGCATTAATCCACATCCATTATTAAACCCGGACTGCATAGCAGCTGGATCTTTAGATGCAGATGAGCCACCAACACCGGAACCGGGCATGGACCCTTCAGACTCAGATGCAGAGGCGTTACTCTCATCCTCCCAGCTATCGGGAATCTCAGGCTTAGCCTTATCCGTTGCTAACGATTTCTCGGTCTCCTCGGGTGCTTTCTCTGGCTTCTGTACCTCAAACACATATGAAATAGACTCTTGGTCACCTTCGCTCATCTCACTCATGTTGTCATCACCATCAACATCCTCCATGGAGAAGCCGCCCCGGGAGTCAATGACGCCCTTGAGGCTGGTCACGATGGTCTTAAGTACGAGCGAAATGTCCTTGAGATGAAACCACACATCGCCCCGTTTGATGAGGTTGTCGCGCACCAGCACTTTTAAGCTACCGTGCTTGAAGAAGTCATAGAGATAGGCGTTTAGCTCAACAGTCGTATCGATTGGCCAGATGGGAGGTAAGGGATGGAAGACTCTTCTAGAAATACCCCGTCTCTGACTGTAGAACACAACTCTTTAATTGAGTCAAAGTCATCAGTGAATCCAGAAAGTGCCACAAATGGAGACCGGATGACCGGTGGAGGGTCGCTTGTTAGACTGCAACCGCGCCCTTTCTCTGGTCCAACCGGGATTTTGGTCAGTGGAAGTGTGCAGTCTGGTAGGTCATGCAAGTGTGCATTGATGTAAGAGGATACATAGTCCTTGAAAGTCAAGAGAGTTTCCCGGTTATGCCGAACGAGTAGTTGCTCCGCGGCAACTGGAAGTCGTTTGAGGAAGATATCAGATGAAGAGCTTTCGACAATTTCGAGGGCCTTTGCCTTCTGCTGAATAGGGATTCTGCTGAACAGGTGGCTGAGGACCAACATCATCTCGCGAAGCACTCTCTCGCGATCGGAGTCAATGTCCTTGCATAACTTATGAAAGTATCCACCGCGGAGCAATGAGTGAAATGCAAAGACGGCGTTCTCCGTAAAGTACAAATGACCTACAAGTCCCGCGAAGTGAATAGGCGCTCCTTTCACCGAGAGAAGGTTCTGGCGTCTCAGGTACTCAATCGAGAAGCGCAGGTGGTGCTTGACCGCCATTTCGGCATCTGGTCCTCCTAGGTATAAGCGAGTTTGTGATAAGAGAGATTTGACTGCATTGACAGCAAATTCATTGTTGTTCGTTCCACTCAAGAGCACAAATAGACGAAGGATAAGTGTGGTTGAGATTGGGAATTGCCTTTTAAGAGCAGGTAGTCGAGAGGACATGATCTCGTGCACCCGATCTCGGCTAATACCGTTAAAGACGACATTCCCAAGCAAATCGAACCCACATCTTCCAGCTCGACCGGACGCCTGGCGATAGTTCTGAGGAGACAGAAACATAGAGTCCCCGCTAAAGACAACTGTCTTGCACGGCATGTTAATGCCAAGCGCAAGGGTTCCAGTTGCAACGACTAGTCGGATGTAGCCCTTCCGGAAGAGTATCTCTACACTACATTCAAGTCAGAGACAATTCCTCTCATCCCAGCCCCAGGTCAAAGATTGAATGTGAGATAGACAAATAGATTGAACTTACATCCTACGGTAGTGGAGGTTCATACCGGCGTGATGAACACCCAATCCACGTCGAAGGGCATCGATCAGCCACGGCTAGACTTTCTTCGGATTAAGTCGAAGCACCAAATCGTCGAGGTCTTTCTGCTGCATCTTTCTGGTGTCTGCGAAGCTGAAGTGGTCTAAGGGGGCCTCGGGGTCAAAACTCTCCCAAGGGCTGGTCTCAACACTCCCTTCCTCGCGGGCGATCTTAAGTTTTGATGGATTCCGCTCCCCACTTTCCGAGCGTTTGGAGAATCGAATCTCTCGATTATTTCCTTTCTGCCGTTGCCACCGTTCAAAGTCCTGGAGTTTCTTCTTCCAGGTAGTGTCACTTCCCTTGAACGCCTTTTCGGCGTCGGTCAATTTAGAGAAGATGCCTCGGACAGCCATTTCGCACTCGGAGCGGTCGTAGTTAAAAATAAGAGCTGGCAAGTTGTCCTATGGGTGAAGCTCACATGCCAAAGTAAACAGCCTATCAATCTTCAAAATTGGATTTTGTGGCCTTTTCATGGAGCTCCATCATTCAATGGTCTACTTCTAATACAATCTACCTTCTAAAATGGACCCAAGTTCTAAATACGGCAGTACTAACATGATTCTAGCTTCAACCGTCAAGGCGTTAGTCTGTGATGTTCTCTTTGATTGGTCAGATCAAACCGACTGCACAATTGGCTGGGTCCATTTGACCGTCGCCTTAATTGAGGCTCTTTCAACCAAAACTGGAATGTTCGTTGTGGCTACTCCACACATTGCACAATAACAATGTGACGTCGATTGAAGATTCATTCTTGCGCTCACCTCAGCGCAACTAGCTTAGCATCGCACTTCTCAACTTCCTAATGGTTTCCCAATTGACTGTTACTTGAGTCGATTCGGCACCTGATGCTTGCATCACGCACCATACCTCGTTATCGCTCTCTAATTTCTGTACCTGTTAGTGCCTGTGTCTTAGAAATGAGGCCTCCCAACACCTCCATTGTCATACACGATCACAAAGGAGGTATCCTTCTCCGATATTGTAGCTGCATCTCCTCTGATTGTTAGTCGCTCTACAGCCTACAACTAGAGGTACTCAGTTCCAGAGGATCCAAACAAAGACCCGAATATTGGTGGTGGAGCTCCTGGTGGTTGCAACACGGGAAACCGTGCGGCTGTCGGCCAGGACGGCCCAAATCAGTTCGCTAGGACGCAGAGCACTTCTGTCATACGTCGTGTCCTGTATCGAATCTCAGAGCCACTATGACCCCCCGGAACCATCACGACGGGCTACAGATTTTCATATTTGTACTCTGTCAGTGTATAGGCAGGTTCCGATATTGTGAATTTACCAAGGATAGACCACGCGAATAGTCTAGGGTTAACTGGTTTACAGTAGTCAGTATGGCCTGAAAGAAAAGAGATTCTTATTATTTTCAGCAGCCATTATAAGGTGGCGCTGTATGTCATGAAGAATAACTCAAGAGGTTTGGAAACTAGTGTTATCTGGATAATATCGAGATATATATATGTATATAAATATTCAGGTCTAGATATAAAAGGGCGCGGTTTAAAAAGGGAGATGAGAAGGGAATGTTGAATTGTTCAGGTTCTGGTCTGGTAACACTTGGTAGCCTTGAAACAGTGACAAATAAGGCCTTGACTGGATAAGACCGGACTCAAACGAGCTCTAGAGGGTTAGTCCTGTTAGCAGGTGGTGCTCCTTGCAATGCGTCCCAATGCTCAGCGATACAGCTTCCTTCAAACCGCCAAATATCAACCGCAACCGTATAACGTCCCATACCCGGCCCCTCGACCTTAACATGGCTCCACCCCACATTGTCTGCGAAACCGGAGTTTGCGATAGTGACATTCCATTCCGCGATGCGAGGGGCGACCCAGGCCAGGCTAGCCTCACGGTCGCCATATACATTCGGATTATGGTTGATGGCATTCAGGAGGATGTGCTCCCTACCAGCGCGATAGACGTCCTTTTCGATGTAAAATTTGCGCAAGAAGTTGGTAAAGATGATCGATTGTTCAGCTGACGAGACGGGATATCCTGGGTTGCAAGTGAAGGATGGGACGGTGGTAGAGCCAGAGGATTCATCCTGAGCATTAACCGCAGTAAGACAAAGGAGTTTGATGGCAATGGACGTAAGGGTCTTGAGGGATAGCATTTTGGCGACAGATTCAGCGCGTAACAGGTATCTAGGTGCTGGACTGAAGGCAAGGTCAACTGAAGAGTCTAGAAGTAGATGTTTGTACAGAAGCGCGAGGTTGGAATGCAATTTAGCAAAGGTGAATACAGATTACTTTGTGAGTGGCAGTCTGGATTTTTATAGCTTAGTGGCAGAATTTGGTCTGTAAACTTTATCCATACGTCTTTGACAAAACGATCAACGGTCAGATGCTATAGAGTTGCTTTGGAATCTATAGCTAGGTAAGCCTTTGTCGTGCTTACGACATCGCTTGCCGTGATAGCGACGACGCAATATTGTACGACGAGTCGGCTGTGCTTCTTGACTTACTTTGGGATCCTAGTGTCGTTTGATTAGGTGCTTACAAATGAATAAGTAGTTTGTACGGAGTACAGGCTTCTTCTTTAAGCTTTACAGGGTTCTTGACGTAAAAGCGCCTGACCGATCAAACTTTCACCATTTGCCGCGTCATTTCATGGCTCAGTCAAAGGATTAGGAGGTCAACAAACAAGGAGTACTACACCCCAGAACCAGTAAATAAGCATTCTGAAAGCAAAGTCTGTCCTAGTATACCTCTATTACAGTACCTTACCTTTACTGTTATATTTTATAGTTATAGCAATTAAGTCTTACTTTAGTATATCTAATAGCAAGATAATCTTTTATTTCTTTTTTTCTTATTTCTCTCTTGAATAATATTAGTTAGACCTTAATATCTAATATATCCTGCTACAAGGGAGTTATAGGGATTTGCTTTAGTCTGAGGAAGCGGAGACGTTGCCGTGTAGCCTTTTTACAGTCTGGCAATCTTATTCCTAAAAGTCGACACCCACCAACCGCCAGTTGTGCTAATTGCCTTCATCCACCCCTCCTCAAGCCCGTGGGATTCTCACACACAGACCGACTTTTGGACTGGTTCGTTTCCGATATTCCGAGAAGCCTCTTTTATTTCTAAGATACGGCAGTTGCATACCGAAAGATTAGAAATTAGGAGATATGTTCCGACTTTAGCTCATCGTCATGACGGGTGGCCTCTTTCGATCAGGTTCCGACATAGTAGCATTCCGATTGGCTCTTAGCAGTCGGAAGCAAGGGAATCTTGGAGTTGGCACTAAAAATGATCTTTGCCTAGTAGGGGATTGTGCTCCGGACCTATGAGGCTTTCGCTTTTTCGACTAGCGTCCCGCTTCTCAAAACCAAGCGAGGTAGTATAGGGCGAGCGATTTGTCAGCCTAGAACAATAACTGTGTGTGGAGAAAGGGCCTCCCGAGACGAAGCCCAGCTCTATGAGTATCAGCGGGAACGCAATTGTATAAGGACAAAGTTTACAAGGGTTTGTATGGAATGGATTGCTGCTGTACCAGATTATTTATCTACTAGAGTATTTAGACTTTTCAACTGCCTGTGCACGCTCGTCGTTAAATTTCCATTGGCTCTTAGGTTTATTTCTACAGGAGCTAGCTATGCACTCTTGATTTAAGTTAAATTATATATGCAAGCTTTTGATTATGTAGCTAGACTTTGAGCGCGCATGAGCTGGCAGAAAGGCAAGTCAACAGCAGAGAAACTGATCCCTTCACTTTGTCCACCCTGTAAAAGAAGAGTCCTGACGGTAGATAAGTCAGTCTATAAAAGTATAAGAAACACAAGCCACCCTGTGTCTACTGACTACTGAATTAATCCATACTGTCTCTGTATGGACACCTATTAGAGTATAATATTTCCACTCACTTGTTTTTATTCTGAACCTTTACTCCAGTCTACTTGCTTATTTGGGTAGAGCATTGTTAGGATCCAACAGTCCTTTGTGGTCGACCATTTACTTCCCAGGTGCGTACTCACATTTGCTATTTTTGGCATGAAGCTTTCAATTCGTTTTCACTTTCAGTGACCTTATGCCTCGTCTGCTCAGCTATCGCTAATGAAATGGTCAGTGAAAAATGCTCCTTAAGATCTCCATTCTAGGCCTTGCACTCGTTGTAGCTGGAGTGCAGGCAGCTATCCCCAAAATCCCCGGCTTTCGAGTAACTTGGGCCGATGATTTTGATGGCCCTAACAACGCCCTACCCAACCCCAAAAAGTGGCTGATTGATACCGGCACCAGCTACCCCGGTGGTCCTCCGGCCTGGGGCACTGGGGAAATTCAGACATACACGGATCGCACAGAGAATGTCCGGACTAATGGAAAAGGTAATCTTCTGATCACGGCTCTCAAAAACTCGGAGAATTGGACATCGGCCCGAATCGAAACGCGACGAGAGAATTTCCTGGCACAACCAGGAGGAAAGATGCGAATCCAGGCCGATCTGAGACTTTCTTCGTTAGGCGGCAATGGCATTGGTTACTGGGCGGCGTTTTGGACACTAGGTGCGGAGTATCGCGGCAATTTCTGGTAAGGGAACACTGGTCTACGCAATTCAATCAGCTTTATTAACGATTTACAGGAACTGGCCTGCTGTAGGAGAGATTGACATTATGGAAAACGTCAACAATCTTGATCGGACTTGGTCTGTTTTACACTGCGGGACAAACCCCGGTGGACCATGTAACGAGCCCAACGGCTTGGCAAGTAGCATAGCGTGCCCTGGTTCATCCTGCGCAGGTAATTTCCACACTCATACCGTCGAAATTGATAGGTCGATGCATCCAGAGACGGTGCGATGGTTCGTCGATGGAGTCCAGTACCACCAAGTCAACGAGACAGAAATACCTTTGAAGGTATGGGAGCAAACCATACACCGGCCTCATTTCATCCTTCTTAACCTGGCTATCGGTGGCGGATTCCCGGACGGTGTTTTCGGCGGCCAAACCCCTCTCGAGACCACTGTGTCCGGAGGGAGGTACGAGATTCGATATGTCGCAGTGTATAACACTATCGGTGACCATTTTTAGTACGGGTTGAGGTGGAAAGTATTGGTAAACAGATATGCGTAGTGTGGATTGGTGGTTAGTTAGTTACAGAAGCGAGAGTCAACCTAAAAAAGCTGTTTAAGCGCAAATTGCTTCCTGACGAGCTATCTAATCCTACTCCAATGTTAAATACATTGCATTGCCTACTGTCAAGTGGACGCACTTGTGATATACATAGTATGGATAATTAATCGTGCTCTAGGATCGCCGCCACCGTTCTGCTACGCGTTCATTCGAGTCGCCTTTATTATCCAAAGACAACAACTATTCCCATATCTGCACTCACTGTTCTCCAAAGTTCTTCGTTTCCGAAACCCATCATCATTGTCTCGTCTTGTTGCTGTAACATCTCCGCCTTGCCAATACGTCGCCACACCTCTTGCACAATAATCCATGCATGATTAATATTAATCATGCCTTGACGACGGCTGATGGAGATGAATGCTCGTTGAGCGAGCTCACGATCAGTAGACGAAATAGCCTCACATGCCGCAACAAAAAGTGGCCAAAGAAGGGCGTTCGTGGGACCAATGTCGCTAACACTAGCACAATGTGTGAGGCTAATGTGCAAGTGATGTTGTACCAGCGGGTGCGTACGAGGATATCCGTAGATGGTGCGATAGAGGTAGATCAGGGCAGAGTGACGATAAGCTAACGCGTTATTGAGAATACTCTCAAGTCGACTTCTCTCCTGAGATTGTTCAGAGTTTATTTCTTCAGAGCAGTGGCATGGAATAAAGTCATCAGGAAGAATGGTGTGCCATTCTTCCAAGGCATTTTGGACGGCTGACGCCGAGACTTCCAGCTCAGTACGCAAGACAGTGGCTTTGGAAATCTCGTTGTTTGCCATAGCAACGTTGAGTTCTTCCTTCAAAGTCACAAGGCTCGACAGGCGATGAATAATTGGCCAAAGAGAGGTCGCCATACCGAGAACGTTATCGATCGTGTTACGGGGAGGAGTCTCATCACCTGAATTCAGGTGAGATAATGGTTGATGGTAACTCATTTTCGGGGCACTTGAGAGTGGAGCAGTCCCAAAAGATAATGCCGTGATGACATCATAGAAAAGGAATGCCTTATGCATGGTAAGTGATTTGCCTGCTCGAGCTACACAAAGGTAACTTACACGATCTAGAAAGGCACTGGTAGGGTCGGTTATAGTCTTGCCATTGTTGATAATCGTCATAGCCCCTTTGAGGTGACTGATTACAACATTGGAACAATTCTTGTGAACCAGCTGCAGCGTTCTTAGTGCATTGATCTAAGATCATATATTTACATCTCAGACTTACCACTTCATAGTAAACAAGAAGCATGATCACTGCCAGTAGCTCATTGCTGTTTATCCCTCCTCCTGTTTGAATTAAGCGTGCCAGACCTTGTATGGCCTGGTTGTGGAAATACGTGCTTCTTTCATGACCAGACACCCCACGACACTCTAGGTGAGCGCTTGCTAGAGCGTAGACAGCATGGGTAACAGCTTGGCTTTCTTGACATAGAGGTAAAATAAGTTGCTGAAAGGGGTTGTCGTAGTCCTCATGGAAGACGGTAAGATGGGATACGACGTGGTAGAAGTGATGCAACAAGACACGGCGGTTTGTGCGGTTGGATAGCTTACAAAGCATAGTAGGGTGATGATTGAACCCAAAAGAGGACGTTGAGCCGGGCGCTACCAGGCCAAGGAAGGGGTGATAAATCGTATGTGCACCTGCGTATATGCTATCGCAAGCTGTCGCTGGAATACCGACGAGCTCTTGATTGACCATATTCTGGATTTCGTTATCTTCAATCGTTTGAACAATGTACTCGGAGCCATCCAATGCTGCCAACCCGAAACCCGTCGAGTTTATGAGGGACACTAAAGACGACTGTGCAGCTTTAAAACCTTCGAGACTAAGCGTGGGCTCAGTAACAAACTGGTTGACTTGAAGATGACAGAGCGCCGGTTCTTGCATCGTTCTGAAAGGCTCTTCCGATTGGTCTTTGTCGGCTAATTTTCCTTGCGTATCCTCATCCGACCCCAAGGTAGGTGCATAATCAGCTGAAGCTTGAGTTGCCCGATCTCGACTCGACATGAGATCAGTACAGATTGAAGAGTCAGCATGAATGGACTGGCGATCGGGTTTCTGACGAGGTGGAACAGGCTCGTAAATGCACTCTTGACCACGTTCCTGACATCGTCTGCAAGTAGGTCGAATCTCGTCGCATTTTTTCCTCTATAATAGTTGTATCAGCACCTTACCAACAATAGGGAATACGTGTGTTTGTTAATTACTTTTGCTTTGCTACGGAAAACGAGAGATGAGTGAGTTAATTCTGCAGCATAATGATAGGTTCGCTTACCATTGAGAACATCCTGTACCGGAATAAAACATGTCGAGGTTAGCCAACTCCTGCACTAAAGATGGGAAGTTGGGCAGTCAGGATAAACATGGCTTCAGAATGGAATATTGACATACCCATACGGGAGCGCTTCTTGGGAACCTTAGGGGACGAAATCCGAGTATACAGCAACATTGTATCCTCTGAAAGTCCCTATTCGCAAATTCTTAAAAGACCAAGGGCATTTGGTAAGCCCAAAAAACCGTTTAAAGCTATTATTGCATGACAGAGTATCAGATAGGTAAGTTCTAATGGACGCTGTCGAGGATCAGACTTACAGAGTTGAGGGGGGATGACACTACAACAATTTCTGGCAGGAACTACAAGAGGAAATTGGAAGCAGAATGAGAGATAGATGACGATTTGGGGACGATCGAAATTTTTAAACAGACAAGTATAAAGCAAATGCGCCAAGAGAAAATGCCAGGCTTGGACGCACCGACGTCATTAAATACATACAGAACTCCCCGAAATATTCGGGGAACACGGTGGAGAAGCTAAAGCAGAACCCAAAGATGCGGCCAGCGTTAGCTGGACGGCTAGTGCCTTGGGGCCAGTGCGGGGAAGTCTGGGGAGGGGAGACATGCACGTACGGCACCTGCCGAGAGTCCCGAGGATGCTCGGAGCACCGCGTTCTTGATCATTGAAGCTTCGAATCGGTTCCCGGTTCGTTGATAAGAGGCAGCCAATCCGATTGTTTTTTTTTTTTTTTGGACAGCACAAATAGAGATTCAGTGGTGATGAACCAATCGTTCTAGAAGATACAGGATATGTTTTTCGGACTAGATCTTGTTGGAAAACGACGAAACAAGGAACAAATACGAATCTCGGCACCCTGGAGTCGATCACTACCGAATTTGCTTGACTATTTAGAACAAGGTTAATCAGGGTATCAATAGCTCCTTGGCATGCAAACCAAAGCTAGCAGGTGATGGGGAAAGCTGGTGGCTAAGGTACATAAGTCTCCTTGATTAGTCTTTATACATCATTCGGCACTATTCAAACCCAAAAAGGCGGAGCTGGCGCCATTCGCGCGCGCGTCCTTGCAACTGTCGGGTCAATTTAGTCCGCGTGTCAGGAACAGATGCCGCCGTACGCTTTGTGGCTGGCACTTCTTCTTGAATGTTCGGACTCCAAGGCCCTCAACAACACACTCTGACGGATATTCCCTTTAATCTACAGTTGACTGAGGCATTCGACTCCCTCTACAATCTTTCACGAACTTGATATTGGGACCAGTTCAAGATAATTATTTGCGAAGAAAATCCCTTTATGTCACTCTTGTCCTACAATTTGACGGTGTTCCGAGTGGAAAAGCCATCGCCACTTTCAATAACTGCATTAAAAAACATACTGGGCGGAATTGATCCGTTGTTACTAAGCCGCCACCAGCTCAATTCTTCAACCAGTCGCAAGTTTTCGTTCAAAGACATCTCTAGTGCCATCTGAAGCTCTCTGACTTTTCTCTGTGCCGCCTTGAGCGTGATTCTTCTGCATGCACTCGACTTGTCGGCCAACCGTGGGCGGCGCGTAGAACTGTCAACCCGGCGCCGTTCTTTACCAACATACGGCTTATGCTGTTGTCTATATGGCTTAGTTAGTCAAACTGCCAGCCGTAGAGTGTGGACCTGGAAGTGAAGCATACCGTTCTCTAGAAGTGAATTGATCATGGGACGATAGGAGCATCCGATCGCGTTTTCTTGACAGGACCTTTTCCATAATAAATCCGGCTTCTTCAGGCTGACGGATACTGCTATCGGCAGGCTCACAATCCGCCGAGCACACGATTTGCATGGATCTGCTGGAATTAGACTCGTCAATTTCGGATTCCATGACTGTTTTGATGGCTGTTGACAGCAATCTATAGTCGTATATTATTGATCAAGGATGCAACCTGGAAAGGGGAAGCAGGAAAGATATTTGAGACTGTGGATCAGCCACGATAATACACCGGAATGAATGTGCTAGGTGTCTGTCAACATAAACAGCAATGGTACACGACGGTCTTCGTCTTTGTCCGGCACTGAGCATTTTAATGTAGAAAGCAAGTTAAAGAACACATCAAGGTCTGTTGGTAGTTGAACGAACCCCCTTAGTTGGACTGATCCTCCATCTCAGGCACATAGCAATGACGTCTACGGAGGCGTAGTGCTTAGGTAGTGAAGGGCCACAAAAGCTTAGCGCAGCGACTGGCACCACAAGATTGGTTCTCATAGACTAGTGTTGAATATCAACCTTATTTAAATTGGACTTAAAGCTTGTTTGGGTACCCAACAATTTGCAGCCACCAATTTAACTGAAGCGCACCTGTACAAAGAAAGGGCGGGCAAAACGCTAGACTTTTGCTGACAAATATGAGTCGCCAGATGGATGCACAATGAATAGCAGATCACCCCTGGATGCCCTGTTTCAAGAGCCGTGATCGTCTTATGAAACTAGACGCAACTCTAAAATCCTCTTGACCCTATACTGACAAATCGGAAGTGCAGGCCGGTACTGCAGCTGCCAGGATACCCTACCAGCCTCAGCAATACGACCAAATGAATAATGGCGCTTACGTGCCTCCCACTTTCTTTTCACCAATCACCAAGAGACTCACGCTCTACCCTGGTTCACTTCGTAAGCCCGGGAACCGGCTCACGATATAGATTCACGGCTTGCCGTGAGCCTTGCTTGACAGATGGTAGGCCACTTAAGTAAATAAACATATTTACTTAGCAGTAAATAGAACTTAGCTTGTCCCTTGAGTATGTTAGGGTGCGATATGCTGTCTTCTGTGGTGCTGTCTAGTGTGCCGACCCTAAATGCCCGGCCCTTCTTAGCCCTCTTTTTCGTCCATTTTAACAATCTCTACCCTTTCTACGCAGAGTAATCGGGATTGTATTTCCAGGCACCAATTAGTTCGAGTACTAATAGGCTGCTATCGTACTTTCGTGTTTTGACTGTTTCAGCTTTAAGGCGGCATAGCATGTCTCCGGTGCTCTCAAAAGGCGCACTTTGCACTCTTTCGACACCTCTAGCTGTTCTTCACACCAGGGGAGGGTAGAGTCAGAGGCTGGCTTGAGCCGTCTTTTGACCGATACCCACAGGCTATAAGGCTCATGCTTCTGATCGACCTCAGGTACCCAATGGAGGTGACATATAAGAAGGCAGAGCTTGAGAAGCAACTTACGATGAAGTCCTCAAGAGGATGAATTAAATGGCGTGCAAGCGTGCTCCTGTGACTCTTCTTTATCGAATGTCTGTATCTGGCATTGGACAGCAAGTATACTGTAGGTGGCGGTGCTCTCGTGAGGCGTCGCACATACCACGATGAGAAAGAAAAACATGGACGATAAATTGAACAAGCAATAACTGGTACAAGTTGTTTATAACATATGTCTGTACCATATAGGCCCTTTATCTCAAACTGAAATTAGAACTTCCAGCGTGGAAATGTTTCACGGAATAAGGGGGAACAGTCCCGGCGTAGGTAGGGTCAAGTGCCAACATTTGGGCGTCACTCACAAAGGGTTGAGGCCTGCAGGCGAGACTGAGGTTACAGTGGGCTATAGGAGGGATGAGCTGCTGAAATGCAAATGCAGTGGTTGGCGGAAGATAAGAAGCTTGGCGAGTAGAAATACGCCGATAAGCACATTCCTGATGTCAATTTCTCTGCCGATCATGTGCGGTGATGAGTTGTAACAGGCAATCCAAAATAACCGGGATACATCAATTTGCTAGCTTGATATCTCATAGAGATGTCATAATCTTTGAGCCATCAATCAATCAATCAGTCACAGCACGGTATCTCAAGATTCACTCAATCTTTGGTAGTCAATGAGAGTCAGTCGAGTGGGAGTAGAAAGTGGGTCACAAGATTGATCGAGCACCTCGAGATGCATAACAAGTGTAATTAATTCATCGTGGAAATAGAACAGGGAGCAGAAACACGCAATTGAGCTGGGGCGTTGAATAAATAATTTATTACTCTGTATTTTCATGCAGGCCACTTCGAAGCCTTTGTGGCTCATACAACATGATCCTCCTTGACACGAAGCTTCCTAATACTCCTCATCAAGAGCGTTCTTACCGGCATGGCATCTCTGCTTAGCGACAGCATGGCGTTTCCAACACTAAATAAGCAGCCACGAGATCTTTGCGTCCTCATTGGGACGCGACAATTGCCCCCATTGACCGGTGTGACGTTCTGGGCAGGGTCTCCGAATGGCCAACCGCACGAGTAACCGAGACGAAAAGACTCAATTTCTTCACGCGCAAGCTCGAGCGAGGTGATCAGGCGGTAGCGAAGCTTTATATATAGCTTTATGGCTTTTTCCGCTCATGTTGATGGTCGGGCTCGAGGGCGATAATAGCTTCAGGTTCAGTGATGAACCCATGGGGAGAAGTCGGAGTGCGTCGCCGCATCATCCTCAACTCTTAAAATCAGGTCTCGTGTGCCCGACAACGCTCATCCTGGTGATAATTCCGCTACTGCAATTGGCAATTCCTGACCCCTCCCGAGCTTCAAGTAGCATGAAGAGTTGTCAACCTCGGGTGTAGGTTGTTGTGCGACAAGAGACTCGGGAGATGACGGCGACCCAGCTTGTCCCTGTGTATCTTCTCTTTTAGTAGGCGAAGGTGTTTGTGGAGGACTGTATGAAGCTTGCGGCTTGAACGACGGTCCAATTCGTCGCCTTGGTCGAGCGGCGGTTGTCTCGCTGGGTTTGGCGACCTTGCGTTGGGGCTGATCTTCCTCGTCCTCTGTTTGGCGCTTTCGCTTCTGGTTCTTGGCCTGGTGTACATCTGCGTCTGCTTCAGTGGTGTTGCTGGAGGGCTTGATAGCATGATCGTGCAGCGCCGGCTTGGTGTTGTCCAATCTGGCCGCGCTGGCTTCGGCTTTTTCTTCCCTCGCCTGGCGTCTTTGCGCTCTTCGTTCTCGTCGCTCTTGTCGCCTAGCCTCAACAGCGATAATGTCTATACCAATTTTGGCATACATGCGCACCCTCACCTCGCGCATCAATTCCCGCATGCTTTCGCTGGGTTCATCGTCGGTGTCGTTGTCAGAACAGCTCATCTCTACCGCTGACTCATAAAAGGGCGAGCGCTGCAGGCATTTGGGTACTGGGTTGGGTTCGATGGCGTGGAGAAGTCGATCAAGTTGCTCGAGGAAGTCGGGGTCAGGTGTGGCGAAGCACATGGGTAGAGTGGGCGTCGATGGAAATGTCACCAATTTGGCGCCGAAGGTCGGGACTGGGTCATCGAGAGGCTTGCGATATGATGAGCATGTTTTGAGCCATCGTTTGAAATGCTGATGCACTTACCCCGTATTTCTTTTCGTAGCTATCAGCCAAGCATTGTCGCCAGCCGCGTTTTCTCTGTCCGGGGAACATTACCCTTGCGACGCTGATTGATTGATGATGTTGAGTCGAGATGCAAATCGGATGACGCCCAATTGACGCGTCGAGGACGGAAGAACAATAGCCCGCTGATGACGCTTTGCCCGATGTAGCACGCCATTGGTCCCGTCACATCTCTCATCTTGAGATATTCCACCAGCCTACCTACCCTGCACTCACCAGATCAAGAGTCATTTACCCCACCAGCAACGGTTCATCTGGTCCTAACCCAAACTCAAGTAGCCAGCTCAGAGTTATGGATGTCTCAGATATTCCAAGTAGTCAAGAGACGGTGGAAGATCCAACTTTACCAGGCTCCTCTGCTGAAGGGGCTACTCTCATCCTAACACCAGAAAACCCTGAGGCGCGATTGGCGTTTCATGAAGTCGCTGAGTCCCTGCAAGTACAGACCCAAGATCCTGTGATCCAAGCGGCACAACAGCACACAAGAAAATGCATGTGGATTTCCTCAAAGCAACAGAATGATCAAGAAGTCAGACGGTTATCTAGGGCAGCATCGGAAGACCTTTCATCATCGTCACCCATTTCGTCGCCACGGAATCCAAGATCATCATCCCGCGCACAAGACGAGAGTGAAGAGGAGTTTAGAATCTGGAAGGGCCACTATTTCTTATCCCTCGTTCAACCCCCTCGAAATCCGTCAAGAGGGTGGGTGGTTGGGTCTTTGAGAGATGGCCCTCACCTAAATGATATCGTCCTTTGTTTACGGTCTAGCAACTACAAGATGTACAAAGTTCGACGCAATCAAGCCATTCTCCAAATTGACCAGACAAGTTTTGTATATGTGCAGCCAATGACCGACAGATCCACCACCATGGTCAATGGGAATAAGATCTCTAGAAAGAGAGTTTTCAACCAATCATCTGCTCGGCTTGCTTTCGGCTCTCTTTGCTACCGCATCCAGTACGCTCGAGGGTCCTATGCCGACGACTACCCCAGCAGAGTCAAGGACTACTTGGATGAGCACCTTAAGATACACACCAGTCTGCTGGAGCTATCACTGACACCAACACCATCTGAAACCAGCCCCATCATCATTGGACAATGGACCGTCAGCGCAGGTACTGTAGGCAAAGGAGCTTCCGGAATGGTCAGCATCGCGTCGAATGACCATGGCCAACGTGTTGCTTTAAAAAGATTACAGGCTGGAAGAGACAGGGAGCGCATACGGAATGTTCAGATGAAGCTGGAGACGCTCGCTGCATTGTGTCAGAGGAAGAACGAAAACCGCTTGCTGCGACTTATTGAAGTTATCACGGATGATGTGAGATCAGCGAATAGGATAGCGGACATTTGGTTTGTTCAAGAACCCGCTGCCCAGGAGGTACTTTCCACCGCCCTCAGCAGGGGACTCTTTAAACAAGGCCAGGAAAGGTGAGATCATCGCTGATAGTACAACTTCACCACACGAGCTTATCAACCAGAATATCCATCGTCACAACCGTTTTGGCAGACATCCTCGGCGCCACAAACTTCCTCCACAGAAATCGCTGGATACACGGAGATCTCAAACCCGTCAACATTGGTATCCGAACTTGGACCTCTGAGTGTATATCTCTAGTGTTGCTCGATCTCGACGATGCTGAGGAGAGCCCTTTTCCAGGTCGACATCACTCCGCTCGGCCCGGAACAGGCGGAACGATCGGATGGCTAGCTCCCGAACGAGAGATGACGGGATACGACGAGCTGGCTGATATCTGGAGCATCGGCGTCATGGCCATTGAGATGATCTGGGGACGACATCCCTGGCGACAGGGCAAGAATCCTTGGAGACCAGGCCCGGAAGCTAGTGAGTTGCAGAAAGAGTTTCAAGACATGTATGGAGAAGCTGTTGATGCTTTGAACAAGCTTCATGATAAGGGTACGACCTTATTTCTCTTGTGGCAGAGTGGTGCTGATTTTGTTGCTAGCTTTGAGGGACGCTGTTATCGGCATGGTGCGGCATCCGTATGCTGAGACATTAGTACAGCGACAATCAAGACTTACGGCGAAAGAGGCCCTAAGACTTCTGGGCCACGCTGAAGATAAAGATAACGCCAGCAAGCGACAAAAACGGGATGAAGGCTTTCGCGCGCCGTAAATGGGATCCTAGAGACTGTATAACTGAAGAACCTTGACCGCCTCTGCGCGGCTTCATTCATACTATCAACAATTGCGAGAAGAGATCTAATACCAAACAGCGGTAGTTGTTTCTCAACCTCTTTTCAGAACAACTTGAATTGAAAACTTGTATGCGGTCAAAGTTCATAACTCTTTATGGTATGAAAGGTGGTGGAGGCCTGGGAGCGAACACATCGTTTCACTGGGCAATGATGTACTGAGAAGGGACTGATGCAATAAATAAATCTCACTTATGAGTTCATACATCATTGAAGGCTAGTCCGCAGGTTGTGGCTGTAACTATGTATATTCACTTAGTATAGCGCGTCTCGCAAAGACTACTAATAAGCCATCGTCCTCCCTCCAACCTAAAGGAGCAGACACATACTCCATGGGAAATTTCAACGCCATCAACCCGAACCACGAACGGCGCCCAAACGAAGCCCAGATCGCTACAACGCCGTGCCTCGCAGTTAAGAAGCCGCTTCTCAATTGTAGGTTCATTCTGAGCTTCTTGCTGTAGGTGCTCAATGAGTTCCGGCCACATGAATGTCTCCGGTACATGACCATCTTTCGATAACGTAGCCCCTGTACCAGGCAACAGCAGGGCGGGAATGGCCTCCCAGTCTTGAGCTTTGATGCTCTTGAGAAAGTCTTGGAATGGAGCGATGATATCTGACACCGGGCCCGTCTCGACTGACGGCACCGGCTTCTCAGGTGATAGATGCTTCATATCAACAAGTGCTGAGATACGCCATGGGTTTCCGTCGCTCAGGATGTCTTCAGATTGACGGTATAAGGTGCAGAGGTGAACGGTGTGGATGAACTCGCCACGACCATCCATGGAGGCTGACCAACCCACGAATACAGCAGCTATGTTTTGAGAGACCCATACATTCGCCTGTGGCTCTGCCAATTGATGTTTGAAGCCTGTTGGTCCGGACTCTTGTTGTTTGGCGAGCAATCCACTAACGCGCTCATACATGTCATCAAAGCTTTCTGTCTTGAGACCACCCATCTCTGGTGGGAAAGGAACAGTGATTAGGCCATGCGGCAGAGTGAAGCGTCCTCCTTCTTTAAATGGGGGCGGGGAACTGAAATACTCGTGAAAGCCACGGACAATATCCAAGACTTGCGCCTGCTCAGTATTAAGCTGTGATAAAGATGACATCCTAACAATTGCCAGCAACTACTAGCATCGCAATGGAAGATTTTTATTAGACTTGAGCTGAGAGTCAGGTGCCTTTATGGTATTCTATGAACAAGTAAGCTGACAGGATTTGAAGGATTTTTACTGATATCGGCGCAGTCAGCTTACTATTGCATCTAGCCTACTACTGTACGCAGTCGCGGTGGTATGTCAACGAAATACAACAAATTTGGCCCGTGCACGCTGCGTGACATCCCTAGCACATCCAGTTAGACCGCCCATTCTTATACAGTACCATATAAATATATGACATGCAAACCGGGCTCCCCCCAGGCTTGGGTCCTTGGGGGTCTTGTTGGAAATTCGCGCGGGCAGTTGACAGAGGCTTTTTACTTTTTTAAAATAGAACTACCACGATATATCTAGCAATATATATATATATATAAACTAATAGAAAATAAAGCAATTAATTAATCAATTTCTATAGAGCCATTCTTTATCTAGTATTAGCTAAAAACACAAGAAAAGCAAGTATCTAACTCAGTGTCGAGGCGAAAGCATGATGGCTGCTTACGAAGTATGGTTACACCCTGACCGCTTGCTCTAGAGCTCAAACCAATAAATCTGAAGAGACCAGAACATGGAGAACTGTAGACGGAACTCTTCCAAGCATGGGGCTCCCCCTGATGATTGAGTTGAGAGGTGTACACATCGACTCGACCTGTGGTGTCGGCCAACTCGAACTTGGACATGTTGATGACCACCAGATGAATCATGATACTGAATAACCAGAACCGTCTGACTGGAGCTATCTTTGCTGCAAGACCCATTTTTGACCGACCTTGTGTAGGTTAACGTGAGACAGCTGCTGATAATGCTTCATCTGTCTCAGTGAATCCAAATCGGTGTCCCCATTCTCCATCCTAGCCTTGTCCACCGCACTGATGGCAAACAATACTGGCACTGCCGAACCTTTCATAATTTCGACCTCTGCTTTCGCCGACTCAACAATAATGTAAATCAGAAGAGAGATAGAGAGGGCAACCTGCACACTTAGAAGTGCCAACCATTCCCACCGAACCTGGACGTATACCTCCGTATTTAATGAAACACCATCGACGTTGGACTGATCAGGAAGGAGTCTGTTCGAGCCGGTATTAGGATATAGCGCAGCCGATAAAGAAGTAGATGAACTTACGTGTTTGTGAGACTGTTAGCCACGTTCGCCGCCATGCCCTCCAGGGCAGTCCACCAAGCTCTCTCTGCCTCCTGGATTTCAAGCGTGGAATTGCCCTTTGCAAGCTTTTGTAAAACCTCTTTGGTGGCTTGTGCTAAGATGTCACTGCCCGATGTACGGCGCATTGGTTCTCCTGCCAGAACGACAGTGTAGCCACTTAGCGATTCATTTAACTGAGCTGCTATTGTGCTCGTAGTTAGCCGACCGATGGTCCATGTGACGTCGTCTTTGCCTGGTAGTTCCAAATTCACGTATTCACCGTATTCATCCCCTTGCAATGCGTGTAACTTTGGGATCTGAGATGCCGACTTGTTCATCCGAACGACATTGTCGACTAGTTCAGGATGATAAGTGTCAACACACCAATAGTAGGATACTTCAATTGCCCAAGGTATGAGATTAGATGCATCCCAATAAATGGCAAAATAATCGAGAATTGATGCATTTTGCAAATGCTGATGTACTAGGGTTGGCCCACTGCCAAGGGAAAATGTTGGGGCGCCAGTGAATCTGGCACGACTTTTGCCCGGTTCAGTCCAAACACCATTCGGCAGAGTGATGTTAGGATTCCCATCGTGGAAATTGACATCCGCCTCGATCAGGTGGGTGACATCTGGGGAAAACCTTAGATACGACGGGCAACCGTCTCGGAGGGGTGATATGTAACGTACTCGTAACCTCGTATCCTATAGCAAGCGTGCTGAATTCTGGCCATTTGCAGTTGGCTGAGGCACACTTAGGTTCTTTAAAGGGGATCGTTTCGGTCACCAAATTATTGATTCCTCGCCTGACACCTCTTGCAATTGCTGGCTGGTTCACTATGCGTATTTGTCAGACATTTACCAACCAAATGTTGCAGCATGTGCGTCTTTAGAAGTTAGTAGTCAGAAGTGGGTGACTTACTGAAAGCATAATTCGACTCATCCTTCCCCCAGCTCTCCCCTAATCTCCATGCCTCTGCACTTCCCTTGCTTCCATCTTGGCCAAATCTAGACGGGTATGTGACGGCAAATTGAGTGATTGTTGATGTGGCAATCGTGGTACTCAAAAGAAATGCAGCAATGATACCAACAAACCTATTTTTGTGAGTAACCGTACGAACTTGGGTATCTTGGAGGCAGAGCTTACCATCCCTTGGTGTGAGAGAGCAAGCTCAAGCTACCACCTAGGCCTCTTGACGCCTTTTCAAATGCTTCGAAGTCCTTGAGCGGTCGTGGCTGCTTGAACCAAACCCATTTGGCTTGTGCTAAACCTTCTGTTACAGGAATAAGTAGTGCGGATCTGCATATGGTGGCTATGCAAGCTAGAACTGTATTCAAAGTGATACCGGATGGCCAATCAGGCAGTGGCTGATTATTGAATTTTCTCAAGGTCATTGTCAGGGTTATGAGAGCGACGACGCTGACTAAACAGCAAAGAATCTCCTGCCACCAACCCTCGATAACCCGCCGCAGGGTGTTTCCCCAGCTCACCCTACTTGGGACAATGGTTTCCGAGCACGGACTGACTTTCTCTGTGCTAAATACCCCAACGGCAAAATCTTCCTGGTTCAAACTCGCGCTGTGAATATGGTCTTTAATAGGTACTACACCAATAGCGCTGGCGGATTGTTTTTGATCGAAAGCTTTTATAGGAGTGTTTGGGTCGATTTCTTGGTCCAATAGAAGCGGCTCACTTGCAGGTTCAACTGACTTAGACTCAATGCTGGTGTGCTGAGCAACAGCATTGGCTGTGTTTACGGGCTTACGCCCGATAGGTAGGGTGCTGTTGCGTTCAGATGCCATATTGTTGTGATAAGAAGTACCCATGCTAAAGAGTGTGGCATCGGACTTGCCGGAGTGGTAATGAGATGAGTAGGTGTTCAGCTCTCAAATCAAGCTCTCTCTTATATCAAATTTAAACAAGCACTTTCTATTTAGCCGAATTGCCTTCTTGCTTTTGTCTGGAGGCTGAAACGCAATAACCAACACACCTTCCCTATTCAGTCATTTCTAATTTAATTTCTCAAACCCAAAAACACTTCGCCGAGATATCCTTGTTTGTGGAATAAGATAATGATGTTTCAAAACAATGGGGCCTTGAAGCTGATACCGAACGCCAATGGATATCTAGCATTTTCGTTAGTAGCCGCCCCCGATTTAATGTAGTCGTTTTTATTTATTATCACCACCAGAAGTTTACCAGTACAGGTGAACTGTGGATTGCCCCTTCTCATCAAGGCTTTGAATACTGTCATTAGGATGCCCTTAGACTATTTGCTGCTACCCCTATCTTAAGTCTGTGCCACATTCTTGCATGTGTTGGCGACCAACATGCAGTAGCATCGGCGAAATGGTGTATTCAGCACAGCCAGCCAATCGGGGAACTCCTGGTGAGAACGAAAACAGGGATCATCTAAAAGGCTTGATCAGATCACCTGTATCTGCTCATCATTGACGGGGCAACATGGAAAAGGCCCTGCCGGGCCCTTATGTATTCCGTCCCTGATTCTTTTGCTTCTGCTGTGAGCTGTATTGGCCGAGACAAGAGTCTGCGGTTCGACTGCACTTTCCTTAACAGATCATGTGAAACATCAATAAAATCGATATATGTCGCAGGAGCGCGAGAAGTTACGCTAGTTATGAGCGCATGTCCGCTAATAGTCCACGGAGAATCAGGCCTCTGAGGGTCTCTGGACGCCGTATTTAAAGGTCCTGCTTCCCCCCCCTCAATGAGAGGATATGGTCAGTGATAGGCGATTTGCCATACTTCTTGAAGCAAGCCTTGATAAATACCCCAAGGCATCACTTCTTCAAAGACTTGCATTGGTCACCGAAGCGGACTGGAAACTCGATAACTGTCCAGTCAAAGTAGATAACTCCTCCTAAAGGTTGACTACTGATGTTTAGCTCAGCCTGGAAGTACATAGGCCACTTATCAACGGGCCTGATTCCGATCTCATAAGAGAAATTAGCCGAAATTTCCATTCTAGCATTACAGGACAGAAGATGCATGTTGAGAATGAGCTCAGCATAGAAGTCGAAGCTTGCTTCTAGTTTTCTCGATCTGTCAGCTGCATAAACAGCAACGCCTACCACCAGCGCATCAGGTGTAACAGCCGCATATGCTATCTTAGTAAGGCTTAGATGCTTCTTGTAATTCCAACTATTACCCATGAGAGGAGAAGGTAAAGAATACTGTGCCGGCGGGATAAAAGCTGTCTGTGGCGCCCGACCGAGAATGCCTCTCGTGTAAGCTTGCTAGATGTTCAAGTTTGGTTCAAGTAGTTTCAGAGCAGAACATCGTAAATTGAAGATAACAGAGAAGTGTGCATACCGACAGTCACAAAGCCAGCCATAACCTCGGATGGGCTGCGATCGTAGCGGTCAGTATTGGCCAATTCGGACGTTTCTCCTGGAGGACAGCCTGTGTTATCCCCCCACGCCGTCACTATTAAGCTCATTGTCGTGTACCTGCGGGATTATGTGGGCGGCCTTCTCCCTCTTCATTGGAGCGACTATTTACATCGCTTACGGCATATACTGCTGCGTTTGCCACCTGCATTGCCGACTTAGTTTCTGGTATAAATTCCAGCCATCTCGATTATTTGCTCCGGTCAATATTGCTGATGAATCTGACGTAGAAGACGACGGCACACTGTCGCCCGCGCCAGCTCTTACCCTCACAAGCCAGACACGTACAAACCTTCTCTGGGCATGTCATGGATGTCTTCTGCTACAGAAGCAAGAGAACAAGAGATCCATTTTTTAATGTTTTGCCGACTGCGGGCCAGATCGTTCTTCGA